CGCGATAAAACCACAAAATCAAGAACGATAAGCGGATATTAAATTTATGTGGAGAAGTTTAGGCCTTCATTTTTCAGTTAAGCAAAATCAATTTTTTTTAAAAACTAAACTTAAGGTCAAGATCTAGTAAATGACTTTAGAATGTCTTTTGGTGCTAGATCCATTATGACGTCATTATCAATTTAAACTTTCTTTTTCCTGAATTTTATGGTTCTAATACAATTATGTAAAAAATAAAGTATTTTCACTGCATTAAATTTGTAATCATGTGAAAAGTAATCCCAGTACATATATTCAATCATACATTTAAAAAAAAGAGGCTTAGAACATACAAAATACCGTTTTCTGAGAGACTAGGCAATCTGAATATATTTTCTTTGTCTTTTGTCGTTGGATATGGAATTTATTCCACATTTCGAACTCGTGAAAATATCAAAAAATCCTGTCTCACAAGTGAAATAAATTCCATATCCAACGACAAAACATTGAGTTTTCTGTTTATTACATTTTCTTTGCCTCTCTTTTTTTAACACAGTGTCATAGGCTATGACGTCATAGTTGAGCAGTTGAGATGTCATAGCTTACTCAGCAGTTGTTAGATGGAAAACATTTAAGGAATGTTTTTAAGTTTAGTGTGAGTTATTGGTGCGTAAATCACACAGACTTGTCACGTAGGCATATTTCATGAAGCGCGCTAAAATACACCAAAAATATACTCTATGTTTGAATTTGTCGATGCACTATATCGTCATTATTTTTATTACCGTCCCTGTAGCCTCATTGTGACGTCATTTTAGTGCGAGTTTCTCCGTGTACATTTCTACGCGTGAGTATACACAAAAATGGTTTTCAAATCTATTTCACAGTTGGCTTAGTAGAAAAACACAACAAATGTAAATTTTAGCAACATATTTGGGAAGAAATTGGCAGTTTTAGTCTCTATCAAGATGATTTAGTTACTATCTCTATTTTATTACGGGTCAGAAATTATTTTTACTTACTTTGATATCGTTTCGCACTATATTTTGATAATGTCATTTTGGTATTCTTTCACACTGTGAGAGAATATCACATTTATTCAAATAATAAATCACAGTATTTCACTGTTGAAAATGTAATAAAACATATTTCTATCGTTCTTCTCAGTTTTATTTCAAAATATTTTTTGGCTAGTAAAACAGATTTAAGCTATTGTAAACTGATCTTAATGTAAGAATTTGTCAGCTTTTTAAATAGACCAGGAAGAACAAAAGTATGATTCATTGGTTTCAAAATTTTGGCAACCAAATGTCATGAAGATATTCTTTTTAATTTTTCTGAATGCGCTTTATGTAGATATATTTCTTTGTAGTGTGCTTTCATCATAGTTGTATTGTTTCGGTTAAACATTTTGACGCTTTTCATGTAATGTAGGCCTTTCAACTAATTTTTCAAGTTGCGTATATGGTAAAAAATTTCATAGATAGATTTATAGGTACAAGAAATTATCAAAAAAGATAATTACTTATGCATACCTTAAATTAAATCATTAAAAAGTTGATTTATTAATAATTAACTTGTACGATGTTGTGTTTTAAGGACAGGTAACTCAAGTGTAGAAATTGACCAACTAAGTGCCGATTTATGAGTTATCGTTTATAGGAATGACATATAGGCTGCTTCAGTTGGTATTGTTATGTACACAAAAGGGTTCCTTACATTGTTTTGTACACAAAAGTATTGACCAAAAGAAGGAGAATGTCTTCACTCTGGAATAACGGGATCAAATGAATGGGGAACGGACTATATTCAAGATTTTTAACTCTCTTTGTCGATTGTTATGAAGAAGAAAATATAATGTCATGTTTTTGTGAGTGCATTTTGTGCTTCCTATATAAATATATATATTTCTACAAGTAAATGCAACAATTAATTATCTTAATTGTGTTACTAAGCACGAAGAAGAACGACCAAGTATAAAAATTTAATCAGGTTAAAATTTGGAAGGGGGGTAGATTTCACTTTATATTTTAATTTAAAATTTTACTTATATGTAATTAAACAGTGTCCGTAACTACATGGTAAATAAGTTTCACTTTTATGCTAAATTTTAAAACCACTGGATTCTACTGACAGCAAATAAAGACTTGGAAAACGCTAAAAACTGACTTGCTTAAAAACAATTAGATCCCCGAAACTGCTCTGAACAAGTTCCGGTAATGAGTTATCATTCTTAACATCGAACCCTAGCGGCAGTTGAAAGGCCTATGTAATGTATGTTTATGTATTCTAAAGTCGAGACCTGGATGTGATTTGTTTTAAAATTACCCTGACCTATCATCGGTTTATTAGTAACTAACATATGGATGAAAATCGTCTATTTATCAAATATTCAATGATTATCTTATTTAAACAGGTATCTTAAAAATTCTTATTTTTAATCAATGTCATAGGAAGATTACATATAACAAGGATAGAAGTACTTAATTTTATTTATATGCATTAGTTTTGCTACTTGGACTCATGCCTATCTGGAACAAAACTATTTCGTGTAGTTATTAAATCTTAAGGACACTAGTATAGCGCTGTTTAACCCCTCACTTACCCCAATCATCCCTTTTTCATACAAGAAATAAAACTGCTCGTATATTTCAAATAAACACTGTTTAAATATTCAAAATAAAGCAAAAACTGGACTGTAACAACTTGAAGTATATACATGTAAATCTACTTTAATACAAAAGAAGAACATTAATACGTAACGCGCATTCAATATTCAACGAAGAATTTCATTGTTCCTGGTACACCTAACCAAAAATACTTTGATTGACTATAGTTTATTTATAGTATATATTCATACAGGCGCATTTTTATATTAAATGGAACTATTACTTGTTTATTCATATATTTCCAAATTTTACACGATTGTTATCAAATTTCAGAGATTATAAGCTTTGAAATCTCTAAAATGTTCTAGAGTAAATTGTCATAGTAAATCTAATTATTCACTATTGTTAACTAGAGAAAACTATAGTTAACTATAGGAAATTCTTGTTTGGGACGTTTCTGAAACTCATTTTAACGGCATCAAATATCGCATCTCTCAGTCGTTTTTTCCAGTCTAATTTCAAATGGGTTTTGTTCTTGCTAGTCATACAGGGTTATGCTACCTTAAGCAATCTTAATAAAACGTCGACAGCTTTTTAGATAGACCAGGAAGAAGACTTCAACTTTTAAATACGTTAAATGGGTTTAATTTTTTTTTATAACCAAATTTAATGTAGATAATACATTTAATATTTTCTCATTGCATTTAAACAGATACCTTCTATAAAGACTTTCTTCATAATAATCCTTTAGCCCTGATTTAACAGGATATCAATGACATGCAGTATTCGATGCATGGCATTATTGTTTACAAAGTACAAAAATGTCCGTTAATGTGTTTGATGTCAAGACCTTGGCTTATCCGTTTCAGCGATAGGACCGTCAGTTTTTATTATCAGCATTTTATGTGATTATTAAAATTATCCCATGTCTAAATGTTGAAAAACACTTAACTGTGCATGTGGCTTCGCCAAAGCAAACCATTAACTGTCCTATAAATGCCGAGTTTACGGCTACATTTAGGTACGAGTGTAATGTAAAATAATTATTGTAAATATGAAGTACATGTACATCCTTTAATGTAAAGCATTTTTAATCCACTTATTTAAACATATCTTTTCTTCTATAACCGAAAAATGTTTAAAATTTTATTTTAACTATACCCCCACTCTGAAGGAGAAGGGGTATACTGTTTTGCTCTTGTGCGTCTGTCTGTCCGTAACAAATTATCGTCGCAGTTTTCTCAGGAACTTCACATCGCAGGTGCTTGAAAGAAGGTACTGTTTCGGCTTTATTTTCCCTAAATATTTTAACGTTTTCAAAAAGTTATGGAATTGACTTAAATATGAGTTGAGTATATGAATGTGATAAATCGTGAAAGAATACGGCATGAAGGAGAACCATTCTCGAAATATGACGTCATTTATTTGGTACATTTCGTAAGATTTTAACAGAAAGGGTCACAAAATGACTCATTTCTGGGGATATTTTCCTTAAGAAAATAGTGTCCACAGCCGACGCCCACTTCAATTTTCGGATATGTTGTGTACAATCATCACATTTCTCAAAATCTTTGTGGGCGATGCATGTGCTCTATATCACCTGAGAGAAAATTCCACTGAAAATTGATGTCTTCTGCAACTTTTTAAGAAAAAACGGGAAAATGCACAAGTTCATGAGTCACAATTAGCATTTTAGCATTTTGGAGAAAAACGATTTGCATGTTCTTACTGCAAGGAATTTCAACGATTCAGAAAGCATGAGTTTTAATTTCTTGCATTACTTTCATATTTAAGAAAGATACAGGGCAAGATTTGTATTGAAACCGTATCTTGATCTTTAAGCAAACTATTTGTTTAGGCATGCCATATGGTGGATTTCATTTTTGTACGAATCTGATGTCAGCTTTCTATTTATCCCTGCATCTTTCCGTATCATACATGACGAATTTTCGTCGCAGTTTTCTCAGCCACTACTCGTTGCAGGTGCTTGTAATTTAAGCACACTTTGTTTAGGCATGCCATATGATTGGATTCATTATTGCACGAATCCGATGTCAACTTCCTGTTCTTCCTTGCGTCTGTCGTAATTGAACTTGTGTATATTCACTTCAGAGTGTATATTCACATCAAAGCAGGGTTATTACTAATGAGCATTGGCTCACCGACTTCTTGTATTATTAATTATTTTAATCGATTAAAAAATATGTCAATGCCCCATTTATCGATTTCGGAAATCCATTTGATCCAACAGACAAAAAAAGGAGTATGCCTACTTACTTTTATCTGTTTTCACTGATTGCAGATATATTGCACCTGTTCTAAAAATTAACAATACTTATTCTATGTATACATAAGAGTTACTTGAAATACTTTATAGTTTAATATCATCAACGTTTTGTTTTTTTAATAGAAATGAAAGTGACAAATCTCCAAGTTATTCTGGTGCTAATGAGCGGAAGCCTAACAATAGGTACGGTTTTGAAATTAAGTATGTATATAAAATAAACTTTGAATAGATATAACAATATTATTAAAGATATAAAATCAAGATCTAATGATATATCTTACATAAATCATTTATTCTTTATTGTTATGAATATTTAAAATAAACCACTGCGGCTGATACATTGGACTGATATTGCCCTTGTAATAAGTTCCTCAATTTTGGATACTTGCATCTTCATGGAAATTTTAATTACTACTAGATGAAAAGAAAGCAGCATTAACATTTTATATAGAAGCCTCTATTTGTAGTCTTGTCAAATGAACCAGCATATGTCAGATTTATATATGATATTAAAAGTTTATGATGTTTTTTTAAATTCTAGATTTGATAGATTTCCACTTCCTTTCAAGATGTGTCCCAAGATATTTTTTTCGTATTACAAACGCTGTTATATTGCCAGTTCAACAGAAGATATTTAAATGAAAGTATTTTATATTTTATTTTTTCATAATAGTTATTGCCCAAGATCCTTGTTCTGCATCGGTGTATACAGAACTGGGTGATTTGGCGAAAAGAAGTCCAACATATGTCCAGGATGCCGTCCCGGTTTGTGACCGATATATTGATAAAAAATGGTACAGGGCTGGTTTCCACCAGATGACAACATCTGCACCATCTTTGGGATTTTGTGGAACATTGTATCCCTACTGGATGAATGGTATTTATATCATTATAAGGCCTCCACTTTCAACACTTCTTTTCAGATCTCTCTCGATTTCATTCCGTCCACACAATAAATATGACTACAAAAATAACATAGGCTCGAGCAATTAATTCTTTAGGAAAAATTGCCTTTCAAAGTGCCAAAGGTCAAAGTCGTTGGTATTCGAAGGAAGGTCTTGTCACAAGGATTACATTTGTGAAATATGAAAGCCCTAGCACCAAACATTCAAAAGTTATGGTCAAGCTTAATGTTTTTCAATAGTAGGTCAAACTCCTAGGTCAAGGTCAAAGTGGTTGGTATCCAAAGGAAGGTCTTGTCACAAGGATTACACATGTGAAGTATGAAAGCCCTAGCTTCAACCGTTCAAAAGTTATGGCCAAGGTTAAAGTTTTTCAAAAGTAGGTCAAACGTCAAGGTCAAAGGGTCAAAGTTGTTGGTATCCAAAGGAAGGCCTTGTCACAAAGAATACACATGTAAAGTTTGAAATCCCAAGCACCAACTGTTCAGAAGTTATGGCCAAGGTTAAAGTCTCATAAAATTTTGCAAAAGTTGGTCAAACTCCAAGGTCAAAAATGATGGTACCCAAAGAAAGGTCTTGTCACAAGAATATGAAAGTCATGGCTCCAACCAATCAAAAGTTATCGGCAAGGTTAAAGCTGACAACAGACGAACAGGATAAAAACAATATACCAAAGGGGATTTTTCGATCCGGGGGCATAAAAATAGGTACCTTCAGATAGAGGACAAGTTTATGGTTTAAGAACCACAGAATTTGGTATATGTTCATGGGTTTCTCCATGGCAATAACCTCTGACCATCCCCTTGTTTAAAAATGTTGAAGCTATGTAGAAAAGCCCACAACCACTAAAGAAAATGACATAAAAACCAATGAATTATAATCGGAGTCCAATTAATGCAAATACGTCCTCTTATTCGATATATATATATATATATATATATATATATATATATATATATATATATATATATATATATATATATATATATATATATATATATATATATATATATATATATTACGTTCAAACCGCACTCTACTACAGTCTGAATTTCTTCTGTCCTCGTAAAAATTGCAATTAATAACATTTTCACTTTTCAAGTGCGCGCATATTTCTGCCGAATCCAGATCCAGGCCTTCGTACTTAAAGAAAGTCTATTTTGGCACTTGTATAGCGACTAACATTTTTCCCCAGATAAAATATAGCTTGGTAAACATTAAAAATATGTAGGTGTATTTTGAAAAAAATGCATGCATGTTTTTATAAGCATTGAGCCGCCTAAAGAGATATATGCTCAGGTAAGTTTGAGGCCTAGCTTAAAATGCAGGAAATTGTTTTCTTTGCCACAACATAAAACAAATAAGTATTCTAAATATTCCTGTGCCATAGTAGATAGGCTTAGTTTGAAAACAAATCTATTTTTGAACCTTTCACAGACAAACTGAGTGATTATATGAACTCATGAACATTTCCTAAAGTAAAAGTGAATTTATGTAGTGACTTTCTTGAATGAAAATTATTTTTTCGGTAAATTATTTAGTTTATCTTTAATTACCAGTATTGTGATAATGGTTTAGTAAAGAACAAGGTACAGTTTCAATACAAATCTGGCCCTGTATTTTTCTAAAGTATGAAAGTGGTGAAAGAAATTAAAGCTCATACTTTCTGATTCGCTTAAATTCCATGCAGTAAGAACATACAAATCGTTGTTCTCAAATGACCTCCTAAATGCTAATTGTGACATCATAAACATGCATTTTCCCGCATTTTCTTGAAAAGTTGTAGAAGAGATAAATTTTCAGTGAAATTTTCTCTCCTATAATTTATGGCACATGCATCGCCCACAAAGATTTCAGGAAATGTGATTTTTCAAATGATTTTATACAACATATCCGAAAATTGAAGTGGGCAACAGCTGTGGACACTTTTCTTCAGAAAATCAAATGCAGAAATGCGTTCTTTTGAGTCTTTTTCTGCTTAACGAGGCCCAATCTAGTTGGAAATTACGAAAACGGACCGGCAAAGATTTTTGAATTTTTGATATATATTTTTATGTACCATGATAAGAAGAATGCGAAATTTTGTTACCTTGTCTTGATTGAAGTGGAATGGGGACAATTTCAAAATATGGAGAATTTTTCGTGGTTTTACACACAATTATATGCTAGAACTACATAAAAACAATGGAATTGATAAATGTTTTGCTTTTCATATATATTGTGCAACATCCATTTCTCATTTAAAAATGAAAAGAAAAGTGGGGTAGCCTTTATTGTAGTGAAAAGGGGACATATCAGAACACCAAAATAGAACTTTAAATTATAGCTAAGATACTTTATAAGTCACAGTAGGTTTACATAATATCAAGAACTGATTGTTGTATTGTATATGTTTCTCAAAATTGAATGCTCGTTATCTTATGAAAGAATTTTCTCTCCAATCGTTATTTTGTCTAACACAATGCGTTGTTTAACGTGGAAAAAGAAGAGGACGTGGTGGGGGTGGGGGGTAAAAGCAATAAAATTACAAAGTTTGTGAATATGTAGGAAAGTAGAGTATTTCCTCTTCTTTTGTTGCATTTACATGTAAATGACTCGGAATCTATCTAAATCAAGCTACTGCACGATAGTTATCAACAAAATTCATTTAGTAAATAAACATTTTCATGGAGAAAGACTATATGTGTTTACTTGAGGTTGCATCTTTTTTAAACTCAAAATAAAACATAAATATTTACTTAGAAATTCACAATATCTCAAATAAATTATGTCCCGAAGTTTTAAAAACAGTTATTTATTAAAACACAAGAATTGATAGAAATGCCAGAATGATGACCTTTCAACACACACACAGTAAGGACCTACCAGGAATGCAAGAATGGCAAAATATTTTAGCGCATATTGACGTCATTTTAACTGTGACGTTATTATATTCAATTGTGACGGCAATCAAGGGTACTGCGACGCGTCTGCAACAACGCTGCGTGAAACGTATGCGCAAACCAAGTAGATTGAGCCTCGTTAAAACTTTTAAGTACCAGTCCATATAAAAATCATGCAAAAGGTGATTCACTCAAGTTCTCAGAATTCAATGATTTTCCACACATAGATTTCTCTTGCACTATGATCCATGTATGCAAAATGAAAAATGTTTTGGATCATGGTTACTATGGAAACCTGGTCAAAGTAATTTCCTTAGCAACCAGCCAATTTTTCCATGTGAGGGGGCAAAAAATCACTTATCTTTAAAGCCTGAAATTATATACAAAAACTTTGACAATTATTCTTATTTACTGGTATGATAAAGACACACACTTTAGGTGTTTAAACAACACAAGAAATTGATATTTTGTTTAAAGCTAGTACTGTGGTAGACATTAGAATATATACATGTTTTTGCATTTTTGCTGACTCAGCATTTTCATTGATTTTGACAATATTCAAGGTCAATTCAAAATTAATACCAAGCTAATACAGCTGTTGCATGACTTTCACGTTAAAGTAGAGGACTTTCTCTTTTAGAGATTGACTTCGAAAGCGCGGGTTTTTTTTAAAATCCTATCCGTTGCCTAGCAACAATATTGGATGTTTTGGAAAATAAAAAGCTAAAATTGGTAGTGTTGTAACAATTATCTTATAGAATAAATAATTTTTTTGTCCAAAAATCAAATTTTCAAGTAATAGGATATAACTATTATTTCTAAAGAAATGCATTGATAAGGAATAATTAATTATCTCCATAGCAACAGCAAATTTCCCAAAGCAACAGTGAAAATTAAGAGATTTTTTGGTATGTTTACACATGTATACAGTTAAGATATATTATAGTAAATTATTTTGTCTTAAAAATTGCAGATAGGCAAAATTGCTTAAGTAATATGGGTTTAATAAAAGTATTTTGTACCTAATTAACCCATGACATCAATTCTGAACTATTAACAAGCAATTTTATAATCACTTTACCCATTTCAATCAGGCACATTTTCCTAAATTTTGAGGCTGAAATAAGATTTTCTGAAATAACCTTCAAAAAGGAACTAAATACCTAAAAAGTATTATCATTAAAAAATCATTTGTATTATTAACAAGATTCTAGATAAAAATAATACTTAGGTTGCCATGGTAACATATTGCAAACTGGCAAGCAGGCAAAATAATTGTATGCAAACTATTTTTAAAATGGCCTTCATTAGTTATAGTTTTTCAGTCGCTTTTAGAAATAAGATACACCTGCATTTTTGAAGCATACATATTTAATTAATATGTATAAATATTATTTATCCATTCCAATTAGTATGTGAGAGAAACATTAATTTCATTCCCAAAATCAAGCATGATGCATGGATTATGCTCTCTCTCCTTCTCAGTGTATGCATTTTGTTCCTTTCTTTCTTAAGGACAGATGAGACGTTCTTCATTAATTTATGTTTTTCCAAATAATTTATGATTGACATTATCACATATTGCAACTTTAACAAGTTTCCTCACAAAAGAATGTGGATACATTTCCAGGTATTTCTGCAAGGTACTATTTATTTTTTTCTATATATAAATCTCATTTAATATCACTCTAATTTCTAATATCACAATTTTTGGTGTTTCATTTTTTTTTTAAAACTTGCTATTTTGAAAAGTAATCAATGATAAGATTTTTAAAATAATTATACATATTTATATGTATTACAGATATAAAATCAGATATTCAATGAAAATTTTGTCATACCTAAAAGGAAGACTGCAATGCCCATGTTTTTGTTTAAAAAAGCAGAAGAAATCTTGGCTTTGCAAAGACATTTTTTTATTCAATATAAAGAAACTGAAATTTATTCTATGCAAGACACATTCTAGTATTATACTGTCAAATGTTGACAAAAGCTAATTACCACATCCAATTGGACACATGCATAGGATTTAAGCTCAGAATTAAAAAATATAATACTCTACATGTACCTGTAATGCAACCTAAACATAACTC